AGTCAAGCAAAAAGTAGCCTAGTAGTGATATCCATGTCCAAATAATCACACTAAAATGAACTAGATGTGCATTTATGAATGCTGTAGTAACATTATTACCATGGTTGTCTATAGGTGCTAAAGGGGAAACGACTGCATTGACAGACAACCAAAAATTAAATGTCCCTTACACTGAAATAAACAAATTTCTCTGGGTTTGTACATTATTGAAGGCATTTCATATTGTAAATATATATAATTTACCAGATTGTGCAAAAGCCAAGCCGAATTACTTAATGTTTTGCTAGCAAAGTTTGTGCAGTGACTTCCTGAAAATGTGCAAATCCTCATGGAAATACAGTATATAAGGCAAATATCTACAACTCTAAGAAGGTTGTAAGTCAATGTTTGGTGTGATCACCTTTATTCTTCAACACAGTCAGAACTCTCTTAGGCAAGCTTTCTTGTAATTTCTTTAAGCAGTCTTCAGGAATAGTTCTCCAGTCTTCTTTAAAGACACTCAAAACTCTTTTTTTGACAAAACCTCCACCACTGGCTAACAGAGCCATGACAGATTCCCACCATGTTTTAATAGTGGCTGTAGACATTCACTGTTATACCTCATTCCTGACCTCCTCTGTAGATATTGACAACAATTTGAGCCAAATACTTCAAATTTAGATGCAAAACTCCATCAGACTTGTTACTGCTGATTTTCAGTCCAGTTCTTGAGTAATTCTTGAGTAAAGGTTAATTCTAACCTTCCACCGAGACCATTTCTGATGAGTCTTCAGTGAACAGCAGATGGATCAACTGTTTCTTAAGACTTTCAGATACTGTCCTACTGGCTATATTGTTTTCAGGCATGATAATTTTCTTCTTTTGTCCTCCACCTCTCCAGTTTCCTCAATTTTTTCAAGGACACATTGCACACCATGCCTAGACATGCTATATTTTCATCTATTAGCTCTCTGGGAATCACCTTGTTAGGTCCAAGGACTGAAGTGAAAATGAGTGAAAAAGCAGCCAATGTCCAAAGCAAAACTTTGACAGTTCTTCAGAAGCCTGGAAAAGTATTATTTAATGCCACTTAACAAAATTACCGAAAAATTACCAGAAAGTCTGACACCTTGGAAGCAAAATATACAGAAGTAAGAGGTGACTGGAGACAGGCTTGGATATCTACCGACAGTACTGAGAGTCAGTATTGCTGCAAAATATCAGATGTTGTAGTCCAAAACCTGGCTTGGAGACAGACTGGTGACCAGGCTATGTTTTACAGGTAGGATAGGCTCCAGCCTAGCTATGACCCAAAATTAGACAAGCAGTTAAGTAAATGGATGCAATGATTGTAGTGCAAACCAAAAATTGAATAAATTATGCATTGATATAAACAGGTAAGAGATTCATGTCTTTGGTTTGTTTCTCTGTTTGAAAGGAAGTCATATTAATTTAAATTCATTTTAAAGGGGATTACGGAAACAAGCTCTGAGCAGGAAATTATATCTCACTTATTAGTAGTTTCTCAGCACCTGTTTGCTAGTTAACATACAGACACATTGTGGTTTGTAGATTGTCTGCTTCATGCTAAATTCTGTGTAGGAACCTCCAAAAGTTGATTCTGTTCATCTGGACGTAGCGTTTTGTGGGAGAAACGTTTCGTCACTCATCCAAGTGACTTCTTCAGTCTCAGCTGACTGCAGGTTTCCCCAAGCTTATAAACAGTAAATTTGCATAATGACTGAAACCAGCCCACTGAAGGAACAATGGGCTGGGAGGTCAGTTCCTTAATCATAATTATGCAAATTCTCATGACCATTGATCAACAACCACTGACCAAAACCCACTGATCAAAGACCACTGATCAATGGCCATGAGTACCATTCACAGAGAGTTGGGGAATGGCTGCAATCACAGCATTGTAAGATGGTGAAAGATGTACCCTTAGGCCCCCTCCTCGATTCAGAGATGGGCTTTCCCTTTTCACGTAAATGGCCTCCTTGACTCCACGCTCAAACCAGCGTTCCTCCCTGTCCAGGATGTGTACATCCTCATCATTGAAAGAGTGTCCACTGGCCTGTAGGTGTGAACAGACTGCAGAGTCCTGGCCTGACGAGGCAGCTCTTCTGTGTTGTGCCATCCGCTTCGCCAGACAGAGGTTGTTTGGTTTCCCCGATGTATAAATCCTGGCAATCCTCCTGGCACTTAACAGCGTACACTATGTTACTCTGTTTGTGTTGGGGACCCGATCCTTGGGGTGGACCAATTTTTGACGCAGCGTGTTTTGGGGTTTAAAAGCCACAGAGACCCGGTGTTTAGAAAAAATGCATCTCAACTGTTCCGATACTCCTGACACATATGGGATCACTACAGGTTTTCGCTTGGGCAGCGGTTGTCCTGCTGGAGCTTTCTTTAGGTGCCTTTCCCGCTTTGACAAAAGTCCAGCTGGGATAACCACATTTACTCAGGGCCTTCTTGATGTGCTGTTCTTCTGCCTCCCTGGTCGCTGTGTCAGAGGGGATGGTGTTCGCTCTGTGTTGTAAGATTTGGGGAAACCTGCAGTCAGCTGAGACTGAAGAAGTCACTTGGATGAGTGACGAAACATTTCTCCCACAAAACGCTACGTCCAGATGAACAGAATCAACTTTTGGAGATTTACTTTCCTGGATGATTGAGAATGCATCAAGACGTTCTGTGTAGGAAATTTGCTTCCTCTAATTTTTCACCCAATGTAACAACACTACAGCACCAGACTGTAGAGAAAGCCCATCACAAGTCATGATTTCATTTTAATGGCACGTAAAAATGAACAGATACTGTATATTGATCTTGGAATGTTTCGCTCAAGGGCACGATAGTCTTTTATTGTATCTTCAGTTATGCAAACATTATGAACAGATTACAAACCGTAAACATTTTGCATATGAAATCCACAGCTTACAGACCAAATCTTTTAAGAAGATATTGCTCATGATATCATGTAATGGATATTGAAATTCCCCTATGGCACAGCTATCCACAATGCTAAGACAGAGTCATTTATGCCGTTGCATGTTAAAACTGAGCAGCTTATTCATGATTTAATCACAGATTTCCAAATACTAATTATCTTTTATTATTTCCACTGCAGGGCTAGAGGTTGTTGCCCTCTTCTGGCTTTCCCCCAGAGTCCAATCTGGTATCCTGCGACTGCAGCCTTGAACAAGATCCCAACAGGCTGCAGAAAAGGTGACTGTCCTTCACTGCAGGTGCTACACAGAAAACGATCCCCGCCCTGAGACAAAGCAGGGGTGGTGGTGGAAGAGCCACGCACAGGAGAATGTTATAGAGAAAGCGCGGCCCTGAAGGAAAAGGTGGAAGGTGATTGGGGAGGGGTCGGCTGGTAGGAAGAGGTGATAATGATAAAAACCTGACATCTCTACTCTAAACACGCCAGCGAGTTCACATGCTGTGCACATCCTTATGAGTATCTGTCATGGCTCTCTAGGGGCCCTTTACTTCCTTTAATAGCCATACATTACTCTCCTCTCTCTGCACTCATCCTCCACAGTCCTGTTCACCACCCTCTTCCTGAGCTGAACACAGCCATTGTTCTTCTCTTTCCGTCTGTTGCACACTCCCATCTTTAACCTCTTGACTTGTACCAGTTTTATAAATTTCTCCTCATTTTTTCCTCTACCTGCACACTAACAGATTGCAAAGATTAGTAAATCAGTTATAAAGCGTTTAGCTTTTTTGGCAACGGGTGATATGTGGCTGCAGGATTGCTTTTTTATAATCATGGGTAAGATGCTGCAAATGTATCTATATAATGTCAGTGACCTACTATCCAAACGCTTTCGTTGTATGTTTGTAGATTGTGAACATAATCTTATCATGGCCTGTTTCACAGATCAAACGACGCCACCTGATCATACCACAGAGATTCACTATAAAATACTGAATGGCTGTATCACTGCGAATCCTTTAAGGCTTATGTAACTCGTAATAACATTACGGAGCTTAAAATCTATCCGACCGTGGGTCAGCATCGACATTGCCGCTGCTGCTGTCAGGGAAGTCAACAAAACAAGAGTTGTACTATAAACAGCTAAAAAGGGGGGTGCCATACAAGTGGATGATGGCTACACTGAAACTCATTCTGCATGTCTGGATCAGGGTAGATGCTGCGTGATACAAAGCAGAGCCTGTGAGCCTGTCCCCTGCTTCCTCTGAACACAATGAACAGGCAGACACAATGCTGTCAGCATCTGCCCTCACCAGCATCTGTGGCTGGAACTGCATGATACACAAATCTAATATTAAACACAGGCTTCAGATACATTCAAGTTTGCTTAACTTGATTTCAAGTAAAGGGATATAACAGTATAAGTGGTGGGGACTAATGCACCTTACTTGTTTTTAACTTTACTTCCTTAACCTAATATCTCATTCAATTACTAGGCACGTGTGGGGAAATGGCATGAATGGGGTATATTTATAAGAAAATGGGCACATATCATGGAAAACGGGCCATTTCCACAAAGAGAACTGCACACGCCTGAGGTTTCCACCCCCTTAAATAAAACGATGCTGGAAAAGATCTGTGCCCATTAAGGACATCCAAATTTAATGACCTTCCTCGTCTCGTGAGAAACTAAAGGCCTATTTGCAATATAAGTACAATCGATAATTTTAGGCGTAGACTCGGCTGCGCATGGATGAATCACCGAGAATTGTAGCAGCAGGTCTCAGCAGACCTACTCCGAGCTTCTTTTTTTTTCTTTTTAACTGAGCTGTCCGTGAGAACAAGCACTCTGAATCATAAACTTCGGCAGCAAGAAACGATTTCGGTCAAAGCTCAGCGCCCCGTTGTTTACACTGATGCTAAAGGCAGATCCACGGGCTAGGGCGATCAGCATCCATGCACCCTGTCCCCCCTCCCCGATGCCTGGGAGGAAGGCGTAGAGGTTGTAACCGTTACCGGGGATCAACCGTGCTTGTATCTTTTCTTAATAAAAACAAAACAAAACACATCCTACCTGGAAAATGTCATATGCTGCTCAAGTCACCTCGTGTTGAGATTTGCGAGAGATGGAGCTGGCTGGTCGCGCATCACTCGGTGTGCGTGCGTGTGTGCGTTTGTGTGTGTATCACCGACAGAAAGCGTACGGAGTACAGCGGCTGGCAGCGGAACCCCGGAACGAGCATAACGCAAAGCGAGCCCTCTGCGGTTGTCTGGTCGGCACAAAAAAAGAAAAGAAAAGATAGAAACACTCACACAAGAGCCAGCTACCCCACCCGAGCGGCAGTTCGAACTACACCGTCACTGTTACATTACAAAGAGGGCTTAGGTGGTGTAGCTCACAGTGTATAACCGCTGGAAACAGGAAATCGAGCGTCCACATCCCGACAAACTAATGTGGGACAAACATAGTATTTGCGTGGGGCAAAGTGGGACAGTTAAAATAACTGGGAGATAGTCAAAAACATCTAAATGCAAGGTCAAATGATTAGCCCACCTAGGTGCTCATGTCCCCCAATGCCTAGTATGTTATGAAGTTTGAACATGATCCATAAAAAATGTGGGTAATATAACGTTTTTACTGATTCTCACCTTTAGTGTGACCTTGAGCCAATTTTTAACAAAATTAAATTAGCTCTAGCTTATTGGTATCTGTCACCACACAAAATGTGAAGATACTATCTTGAAAACTGTGGATGCTAGACTGCTAACAAATAGACAATCAATCAATCAATCAAACTTGAACCTTTAAAAAATTGAGTTTCTGATAATAACTCGATAATAACTCAAAGCTCTGTTTCCAGAAGGTGCTATAGATAAAACCTCTAAACAATGTTACTACCGAAAGGCGATTCATTTTTGAACTCTTTTAATGGCACAGGAACATGAATGGTTTGTTAGTGTATACAGAAAGACCATATGCAAAAATATTGTTGAAAAATAATACAACCCTGTATGTAAAAGTTGGTTCACTGTGTGAGATACGTAAAAACAGAATGCAATACTTTGCAAAATGTCTAAATCCTTTATTTTTTTTTATAATGGTTAAAAGACAGCATAAGAAATGTTGACACTGATCAGTAAACCACTGCATGTCATTTGAAAAGCTTAAACTGAGAACAAAAACATATTAAAAAGGGCCAAGTACCTCCTGTTGCTTCAGAAATGATGTTCATTTTCTATTATTAATTTTGCAGCCTTACAGCCCTGTGCCTGCATAACGTTATTACCACATTAATATGCCCGTTGATAAGCTGAGCTGATAGCTTGCTCCACACTGAATATAAGTACAATAGATAATTCTAAAAGATGATAGCAAATTTTGGAGAGTCTTTAAAGTCAGAATCAGAAATAAATCAGGAAGCAGATTGTAAAATTGACATAAAAATGTATTTTTAACTGACTCGCTAACTAACTGTGTAGACCACAGCTGATCCATCTTGAACTTTATTGCGTGTAGAAAAAAAAATTGATGTGTTTTCACATCAATTATAGAAGCAGTAGTTAAGTGACAAGGACAATTTTCTCTACAAACACCACAGCCTCAGGTTTCAGACAGAAGACAGCACTATCACCCAGTGGCTGCACCTGTGCATCACAACTGAGTCAACAACTAAAAGCGCTGCCAGAGATGGGGGAGGCTGAAATCTGACACAGAGAAGCAGACTGGAATATGTTTAAGAACACTGATGCTTTGTGTGTCATACACTGGAAAAATGGGACTTCTTAGCACTATCATTAATGAATATATTTTAACCATTTTGATTACTTTGGTCAAATTTGTGCTAAATAATCAATTTGACAATATACTTTAGGATGGTTGCTGGTGGTAAAGAGGCTGAAAATAAGAGACGGAGAACCAAAGCCCACACAGCAACAACATGAAAAATTTCTTGTCCAAAGTATCCTGGCATCTTGTTCATGAGTAAGGGAGAGGGGAGATTGAAAGATGAATTGGTGCGGTCTCTGCAGGAATATGGGCACTGTACTGGTCCAGTGTGGTGAAGAGAGACCTGAGCATAAAAGCGAAGCTGCCAGTTGACATTCCTACCCTCACGTATGGTCATGAGCTCTGGGTAATGACTGAAAGAACAACGCTGTGTAAACAAGCAGTGGAAATGAGCTTTCCCCAAAGCATGGCAACGTGAGATGTTCTGGCCATGTCCTACTGAGAAGAGGCCCTGGGGTAGGCTCAGGAGACACTGGAGAGATTACTGGAAGTGCCCCGGGGTCACTGTAGCACCGGATCAGAAGGACAACTGACAGTATTTGGTTTTAAAAAATGTTTCTGTGGAAATGATGGACCTGACACCAACAGCTTTTGCAGTTTCACACGTTTTTTATTTGTTCAGTGTTTTTTCAATGGGCAACTTTCCTGCTTCCCCGCTTGTACCACACACACCACCCCACCTCAGGTCCCGGCACATCTTTTACAGGGGAGACGTGATCAGTTGATGGAGCTCAGGTATCTGAGCAACAACAAATTTGGGCTATTTAAAACACCATGTTTTCACTAACTCCAACACTAGAAGCGTCTTCATGCAGTTTTATTCTCCTGTAAGTCAATGAGCTTTGCGCTCAGTACTTGTTGGGAAGACCCTCGGGCCTGAAATGGTTGGGATCATTTCCGTCTCGCCCCCAACGGTTTGCCGCCTGATCAGCTTCGGAGTCCTCAGCGCCATGACCCAGTCTCTCCTGCACCCACTCTCTGGTGTTACTAAAATGGAAATAGACAGTGAATCCACCTATCTTCAGTAAGTACGTTTCAGAACAACATCAGAAACTGAAAAAATGAGAGAAGCAGAATTAGCAGCCTTAAAAAATTAGTGATTAGTTAATCAAAAATACAAATGAATTTCAGTAAAGTAGATTGTCAAACCTGATAACCTCAGCAGCCCATCTGCCTCCTGCTCCTCTCTGTGCAGCATCAGAGTTTCCTCTGGCATGAAAGTATTTGTCTGAATCTTTCCAGTTGGCCTCCCTCATGTCGCTGTAGGCTCGCCACATATCACCAGCCCCTGATCAGAAGTACAGAAAACAGTACTGATAATAAATAATGACAACATTCGCAATTAAAATATCAAAATCTGAGAAATATGACAGATTGTTGTTAGGTATTTAAAATGCCATATTTCTAACCTTTAGCTGCTTCAATTGGGAAATTATACCACTGGGCATTGGTTTCCACAATTAGAATGAGAAAAATCCCAGCCACAAGCAACTTCATGGCTGCAGAAGTCACAAAATTTAAATCTAAACTGCTTTTTTTTTTTTTACACAGTTTAGACAAATCTTTAGAGCTCACTGAATAACTTACTACTGAGGGACGCACTGGTCTTATATTCTGTTCTGTACGATCAATGTCATAGGATTACTCAATAATGGAAAGTTTTGGTCCATGTTTACAGAAAGGAAAGTTCAGCCAAACACACCAGGCACCAGTTGTGAAATCGCAGGTATTCACAGCTGTGGAAAAAAAGAGCAAGCTTCATGTAAACCAAAACATCCGAGGGGTTTTTTGCTCATCATGAAAAATCTCTGTTCATTCCAATAAACTCTGCTGCCTTACCTTTATCAATGTATGTGCAGCAATTTATTACTATTAAAGTTATTTATTCATTTTTAGATGTGTTAATGTTTGCTTGTTTTCTAGTTTCTTCTGGTTATGTCGTCTTGAATTCAGAATGCAAGTCCAGAGTTGTCAGGAAAATTTGGACAAAAATGATTGTTTATGATGTTGTTGCTGCTGCTGTTTTTGTCACTGATGCCTCAGGACGTGATTTTGCACGAGAGAAAGTCATGCACATGAGCACAAATGCACATATATATGTGTCTACTGGTACACGCTGGTGGTGCTACTGCTGCATTAGTTTGTGAGTTACACTTTACTGGAAAAAACCTATATGAGATTCCTTAATAAATGTAAAAAAGATCTATTGCAGTCTATTGCGATCTCTTCGTCTGTTTCTTTTTAAAACATTTGCATGTTAGTTTAGGTTTTTGGTTGTGTCAAGGCTGCGTCTGTGAATTTAGTTTTGTATTTTCCATCCATCCACATTTTGCCACATACTTATATGTCCGTGTATTCTTTGTAGTTATTTTCTAAACAGTTTTTATTGTTAAAAGCAGTTAAATCAGGTGGAGGAAGTGGTTGGGGAAAGGGAAGTCTGGGCTTCTCTGCTTGATGAGTCACTAGATTTGTGGTAGAAAATGGATGAATGGATGGTTGGAAGGCATATGGTGAAGGCATCAAAGCATCATTAGACAAGATGAAATAATAAAATTAATACAACTTGCAAACTAAGGATATTTCATCTCTGTCTTTATGTTAGTTTGATTTTCCCAGTTCAGAAAATAGTTTCAAGAAGCTTCTGTTTGTCCTCAAAAGTCTATGTTTTATTTTTATTTTAACTGGATATTTTTTCACATCTAGTTTTAGTTTTGATCTTAGTTTAGCTATAACTCTTTCATAGTTATAGAAGACTAAAAGAAAAATATATTTGTTACTCATAATAGTTCATAATCTAAAAAAAAGGAGAAGCATACAGTTATAAGTCAGAATGAAGGTAATGTAATGCACAATTCAGAGGCAACCTGCCAAAAATGCTGTAGCAGACCTCAAAGGAATATAAAGGAATGCTCACTTCAGTGACCTGAAGCATCTTTGTAGAAGAAAGAAGAGAGGATCAAAATACCGCCACAAATAATGACAGGGGGTAATATGTCACGTGTTGTTGTTCATCTGAATTTGTTATCATCTTAAATAGACAGTGAAAATCTTACTTTCCAAGCTGCAAAATTTAGAGATCATCTTTAAAGTTCACTGAATAACTTGTTTACAGGAACACTACTATTTTTATTCTGTTCAGAAACAAGCAGGGTCAGAGAGATGAAAGTTCAGCCAAGCCCACCGGTGTCCTGAGTGTGCAGCTGCAGGTTGGGGTTGTGGTGGGGATATTTAACCTGGCACTACTTTCTGTTCTTTTTAATGCTGTTCAAACCTGCATTGAATCCATAAGGGTCAACAGGATATGTTGTATTTAAAACAGAATCAATCTACAGTTTATTTGATCAAACAATCAAACTATTATTTTTTTATTTATTTTGCTTTGTTTTATGACAGGCTTTGATGCTGACAAAAACACTGCTCTGTTTTGAGCAGTGCTAAAGGTTCAAAGCAGCAGATGGCAGTAGAAGCCTACTGATTCCTGGCAGAGAAATAACTGTAATTCCTCCAATCATGTCACTATGACATGACATGATATGACATGACATGTCATAGTGACATATCTTACACTGAAAAAAATCTATCACACAAATTCCTATATGCATGTATATATCATATTTATTTTTAACTTCCCTCTCACCCCTGCGGGTGGACTTTATCCGTGAAGCTCAGATTCTCTAACAGAGGCCCGGGAGCTTGAAGGTCCTACACAGTCTCTTTGCTGCTCATAGGCCTGTGCTCTTCTGGACAGAGATCTTGGATGTCATTCCTGGGATCTGCTGGAGCCTGTTGCCCAGTTTGGGTGCCACTGCCCTGAGTGCCCACAGGGACCACTTCGCATCTTCTCCCCAGCTCCTCTCTCAGCCATTTGTATATTTATATATACCAGGATTTCAATTAAAGAGCCGGTGCACACTGGAACCATAAAACCAGTCACCAATACTGTTAATTTATGATGTTTGTGGCATAAACATTACATTGGGTGATGGTCCAATCATTTTTAAGCAGTCCACATGTTTGTTTTGCCGAGACTTGGGAGAACAAGCCTTGAGAACAATTTACAAAAAATAAATAAATAAAAAATTACATATTGAGATTGCCTTGTTAGACTTTGGATAGGGGTCACTTTAACACAAAATTTCAATAACTTAATGGCACTATTAGTGATCAAGTTAGCAAAGGACCCAATATGCAGGCCAAATGCAGACTCTCAGGTTGGCAATTAAAAATGAACTTATGCAAAACTTAATGTGGTGGGAAAATCCTATGACTAACAAAAATTCAAAAACAAAAACAGCAGCTAAAGAAATGCAAAGAATTAGAATAAAAAGAAACCAGAGAGCGCAGAAACAAGATGGATGTGAAGAGGAGACGATAACAGAACACCTGAGACAGGTTTGAGGTTTAAGGTACAGAAAAAGAAAAGAACAACAACAGCAACAGTTGAATAATGACGAAATTAAACCAAATAAGAGACTGTTTCACAGTGTAGGTGTGTGGAGTGTTGAGCAGAGGATCTGAACAAAAGATGAGCTCTTTATTGGCTCTTTAGCAAATCCAAAATGTAACATAATCCAAGGAAAAAGTCCAAAAACACGAATTCGGAACCTGCACAGGGCAGCTAAACCAATAACGTACACGGATAACTCACTGGTGGACTAAGCAAAAATAGCAGGAACTGGAGATGGGTGGGGAACAAGCCATAGCTAAATAAGATTAACAAAGGTAAAAGCAATCCATTCACCAATCAAGAAGTAAAAGTGGGAAGAGCCACCACTTAAAACTAAGCGTCTTAAGAAATACACAAAGGAGACTAATACAGACATGGTTATTAACACTTCACAAGAAGTGCAAGACAAGAAAAGACCAAGCTGCTGCCGCCCCAGCAGACCGCACTGTAAAAGATGGCTGAGGCCACCACAGAGTCATAGAAGGTCTTCAGAAGTGGGCCCTTCACTCCAAAAGACCTGAGCATCTGCAGCGGGTACAGCATGCTCTGCCTTTTCCTGTAGAGAGCATTTGAGTTGTGAGACCAGTACAGTTTATCGTTCAGGTGAACACCAAGGTACCTGTAGCTATCCACTGCCTCAATATCAATACCTTGGATGTTTAGTGGCTGCAGTGGAGGATGTTTGTGCCTGCAGAAGTCTACCACCAGCTCCTTGGTTTTACTGGTTTGGATTGGTTTTAGTGTTGATCTGTAGGTAGTTCTGCTGACACCAGTCCACAAAGCCTTAATACTAAATAGTGACTAAAACTTAAATGCAACAAGTACATGAAGTTTAAGATTGAAGATAACAAAAAAAAATCAAAACAGGAATCGAAAATCAAAATAATAATAATCAGGGAACCAAACAGAAAACGCTTAATCCACTTGAATCCAAAGGTTCCTGAAACCAGGGGCACAACAGACCGAGAAGAAACCCAAAAAACAGAAACTCTGCTACTGTAGGGTTACACAAGCATCTCAGGGGTCTGTGAGTTAAAGCAGTGCATTGAAGATACAGCATATTACACTGTACTGCTTATTTTTTTCTCTCTTTTCTCACAAGCAAAACAGCTAGATCAGATTAAAACAAGAGCAATTAGGAAATTCAATACAAAAATGTTACTGGTGGCCTTCAAAACTAAATTGTGAAAAAGAAAGGAGACACTGTCAAATGACCAAAACACATTAGGTGCAAGGATTTGTGTTGCAATCTTTCCACGCAATAATTTACCTTTGATTGTTGGATTTCTGCTTGGTCAACTTTTGGTTAACTCGTAAATAAATAAATTTTAAGTATACATGACAACTGGGTTACAACTAATTAGAGAACCAATCATAGAGGATAAAGCAACCCCAGAACTTAATGCTATTACCACCATGTTTCTCCAGAGAGATGGTATTAACCATGTGATAAACAGTAACTTGGAGTTCAGCCAGAAAGCTCTGTTTTAACCTCATTAGAGCAGACATCACTTTAGCTCTTCCCCTTAGTACTTTAAACCACATATGGTAAACTCCAGGTGGAAAGAGTGCCTTTCTAGCTGCTTTTCAATAATGGAGTGGTGCTGAGATTATTGCCCTAATGCCTAGCCACAGTTATCGCAGAGATCTACAAAGAATACCTTGGCGCTTAGTACTTGTTTTTTGCCACAACATGCAGTCAGATCTGTAGGACCTCAGAGACACAGGTGTACCTTCCAGAAGGTTTCAGTCAGCTTCAGGGCATTTAAAGATTGATTAAACCAAACTTACTTTAACATAATTTGGATTGCCAAAGGGTGTAAAGTGTTGGAAGACTGACATTTTGTTTTTAAACTTGTAAAAGGTTAAAAAGTATATATTTCCAGTTGTTCAAGATTGGCTACTGAGTTCTGAATGACATACAAAAGCAGTTTTATTAGTTTCATATTCTGCAAAATCATAAAAGCTGTCATTTGACTTCTGCACATTTGAGATAAATAGGCTGTAACGATATTCCCTGGGCTGCTTTAAACTAGCTCAGCTGTAATGTTTCTAACAGTGCTGTTGATTGTGATATGATGAGTCTAAGATTACCTGGAATCTGAGCGCTCATGAATCACTCTTTTATTGTTTCAAATAAACCAACATCTCTCCAGACTGTGACGATATTTCGCAACGTCACCGAAAACGCCCGAGGGATTAAAGCACGGCTCGAGTTGGGCTGATGAATGTGTTGTTTTGCGTTCAGAGGAGGCACTGTGACAGGCTAATAAATATGCATCACAGTGACAGTGCGAAAAAAAGATGAAGCTGTGAGAGTGAGAAGGAGAAGTTTCTGTCCATATGCAAGGGAAGCGTATTTTTCAAGACTTAATCGAATGTTTATGCAACAGATTAAATGCATTCCACACTTGACATAAAGCAGAGGCAACAAAAGCAAAATCGTAAAACTATCTGCTTTACACAGATGCACAAAGCTCATACAAGATGTCAGAGGTGCTATCACAAGAAATGTGTCAGACAGAAATCTGTGTGATTGAACAACTGAACAAAGGTGTAACATTGAGTCAACACAGCAGAGCAGTCAACTGGCACTGAGCTTTTTGAGATAAAACACTGCTACATGCTGCAAATTGAAAAATGCTTTCTATCCCTGACATAAAATTTCACTGTTACTTCAAAGATAAAACTAAAAAAAATTCTGGGCCTCCCCTAAAACAATGAGGACATGGATGATTAACTTCTACACTTGAGCTGCACTATATTTACAGCAAGAAGCTGAAGATAGCTCTTCCAATGGATAAAAAAAAGCTAAAATAATGGTTAACTGGGGGTGCTTCTTCCTTACAAGTTGGAATTGTTTGAACTGGATGTGTAAAGTAATTTGAATTGATTTTCACTAAATGTGGTGCTGTACATTATGGCCAGACATCTTCACTCTGGTCCCATCTGTCTAGATGCAACTTTGCAAACCAAAGCTGTGCTCCTTTTAGAGAAACACAAGCTTTCTGCTGACAACCCGTTCAAACAGCCATACTTGTGCTTTCTCTTTGTTTTGGCACCACCTGACCTTTGGGTGAAGACCAACAAACTACCAAAACCAAAACCTGGAGATAATCAGTCAATTAAGGGTAGCCTCACCTGGCTGGTCATTCCTATGAAAGCAAGGTTAAGGTTGGACTTTATTTTTTCAGGGTTGCTTGTGAAAACTTTCTTTTTCACATGAATGTACTATGTTGACTTAAACAGTTTAAGAGCCAAGAAATGTTCCACTCTTGGGAGTTTCCCATTTGTGATGAACAAACAAACCAACAAACAAAACTTGCTTGCTTGTGTCACTTTCCAGGTCTTTAGCAAATTATTGACAACTCAACTTTGGTGTTAATTTTGGTTGCTCTGTGGCTCAAAATCACCAAAAACTTAGAGCCGATAAATCATATTCCATATAGTGCATTTTTCAAAATGCCATTCTAGTTGGAAAAATGTACACACCAATGGAATTTTTTTTTTAAACTAATAAAATATGAAATATTAACAAAATATTAATGATCAAAAATACTCTCAGACACGCAATCGCATTAGGCTGAAGTAATAAATAAGTTGAGATTCTGTTGTAATAAAATCGCCAATCAGGTTACCAGCTCTGTGCTGCATTTCTGTCTTTTTATGGCTTCAAAACGATCGATTACACAGGAACAAAGAATAGAAGAGAAAACGGTTTAAAAGATATTCAGTAAGTGCATTTCAAGGACACATTTACAAGAACCTAAAAGCTAGAAAATTTTAAAGCACTTTATTGCCATGCTCACATTGTAATCTTCATCTTTAACGTTTTATTACTTTTTTATATATAATTTGCCCGCTAAACACTTTTCTTCGACTTCTTTATTAACACTGCATGCGACTTTCAGTTTAGTTGTAACACTCGGCGTTTGATCGGCTTTAAAATCACCTCCTATATTATATGTTTAACCGAAAGACAGCGTCCAGGTGACTGATTGATGGGTAACACAACACTAGAGATCGCCATTGAGCCACGATCCACGCGTGATTCAGGGCGAACGTGAATAGTGAGTAAATGTGCCTTATCGACTGTATAGGCCTTTTGGCTGTAATGGCATTATTATAATAATTAAAACGCACAGACTGCTCATGACACTACCACTAATGAAAAGCTTACTAGAGGCTCAACACGTGAGCGAGAGCAAAACGTATGGGCTACAACTTGGACACGTTATGCGTAAAAGGTATCAATATTCGCAGAGATTCTCACATGAATCCCACTGATTAGGCTATCGATCCGCAGTGAAGCCACGGAGATGAGGGTGATCAGCACTTACTATTTAAATCAGTAATTCGTGTAATTTATTTATTTCCTCCCTCTTCTGGGCTCTTTTTTTATCATCTCACATAGTAGCGACAGACTTCTGTAGCAGACTGTATGGTTACTAGAATCGATTGTCTGTCAGAATTACCTCTATTATTAAAAAGCTCGGAAAGGCTCCGGTTCACATGACAGTAGGAGCCTCTCATTGTGCAGCTCGGAGTGAAAGAGAGGCTTTGACTCTGTGTGATGAGATGAAGACCTCAGATGAAATGGACAGCAGCACCGAGGGCGCACGGATTCCTCGCCTCGGCTCTGAGTAGACGACCTCCTACCGACTTACTTCACGTCACCCCGCCCGTCTGCTTGCCGTCTCCTCCCCTAAAACCCTTCCTGCGACCAACCCTTTGAGCGACTCTGGGCTTAAAAAAATAGAGACTGAGAGAGAAAGTGAGAGAGATAGCGAGAGCGAGCCAAAACACATACTCCCAACATCACTTAGACTATCTTCTCCAGCACAACAAGGGGAGGAGGACGCACAAGTGGAGGCGCGTCCATGCGTGCCAACCGGCAGACGAACAAGACATTAAAGCGGGCAAAGGACCACAAATAAATTGGAATAAGACTGAACTCTTTGGAAAAGCGCACAGCTTTGCAAAAAAAACCCCAAACAAACAACACCCCCAAAAAAGACAGTCTAGATGAGTGAATGGTAAGAAGAGTCATGCATCTCAACGGAGGAGCAGATAACAGCAAAGGTGAGCAAAAATATTTCAGCGGCCATCAGTGGATAATTTTAATCAGGCTCTCTGCATAGTTCAAAGCTCTCGCGTTGATTGCCAGATGCCCTTGAGTGTGCCATGTTGATGTCAAGTAATGATGCTGGGGGTCATTCCAACAAGCTAATGGTTACTGCTGTCATGGTTTTATTAGTGCCTGTTTGCCTTTCACCAAAACGCACTGAAAAGCTTCGCATGGTAGTGAGAAGGGGTGCTGCAATACACCCAAGGTGGCAATATAGTGACTGTCTGTGAGCCAGCCACTTGAGCACTTGTTGTTCTCGATTTGGATCCAGTGTGCACGGTCGCATCCTTGCACGGTCGTTCTTGCACGGGGTGACCTGAGCATACATGCACAAGGTCATTTTGATGAGCAGCCTGTCGTGTTTGTGCAGCTTCGAGGTGCGTGTGTTTGTATTGTTGTCTGTAACTGAGACGAATGCGTGCCCTCCGCTGTGGTCGGAGGGGGAGAATTAGAGAGCAGACGGTGTGTAACGACAACGCTTCCTATCAAGATAAGTACCGATGGCTGTTGATGCATCTGCGAGAGCCGTGGTGGTGGTGTTGGTGGTGGGGGTAATTTTACTCTCAGTCTTGGAACCGAGGTCGAGGTCACTGACTAACACCTGATGCTGATGGAGATTTGCCTCTCAATGTCTGTCGACATGACGCAGCCCGTGTCTTACTGAGCACTGTAAAATAAACAGCAACTGGACTTGTGTCCACCACACCCACGCACTCAGCAAGTTAAATGTATTATAATGACTGGCATCAAGTATATGGCACTATGATCCACAGACTGATTGTTCAAACTACTGCATGTAATAGCCAGTCCCCCATAAACATGAGATATCTGTAGTACAGTTGTGGGCAGAAGAAGTCTTAAAACCCCCCAAACTGAAATACTAAAGAGCAACACCACAGTGTAAGTGCTGAAAATCTTTCAACTTTTTATTTTCTCACATCTGAGCAGCATGCTGATAATGATGTTATACAGTTAAGATAAGATAAGATAAGATAAGATAAGATAAGATAAGATAGAACTTTATTAATCCCTCGGGTGGGTTCCTCTGGGAAATTCGATTTCCAAAAAAGCACAGCACCGACAGAAGTTACAGAGTTACAGAATATTATATATATATACACACACACACACACACACATATATATAAATACAGAGACAATATAAATAAAATATACGAAGGGGATAAATAGAATAAATAGGAATAAAAAAAATAAAAATAAAAATACAAGTGAATTGCACATTTCAAGTATTGAGGTCTATTGCACTGTTGACTATTTACAAAAGTATTGCACAAAAGGTATTGCACAGTGAGGTGAAGAGGCAGTTTGAATTGGAGTACAGTATTTCACATTTTTATTTGCAAGTGGTGAGCTTTACAGGAGGCTAATATCTTTGTTTTTACCAGCTGTAAAGCATGCTGTTTGGTGAGGAGTTCCCCATGTGGAGAGGGGTGACCGGCACAGTGGCACACCGCATCGCCCCTCATCTGAAATGTCTTACGACCTCATTGCCAGATATGGTTTCACCAGGGACAAAAGATGAGTCACCATCTGCAACTGGAAGTGATTTCATGATTACATGACAGGCGTGTGTGCGTGCGCGTGTATATTCCTGTATTACTCTGCTCGTGGGGACATAAATGTGCATACAGAGTCTCAATGTGTGGGCATGCTTTCCTTCTGGGGACGAAAGGAAAGCATGCCCACAGTGTAAATTACAATAATTTAGTTTGAAGATGCGCTTAAGGCTAGGCTTAGGTTAAGATGTGGTAATGGTTAGGGTTAGGGAGTTAGCAGCTATGTTAAGGGTTAGGGTAAGACTGTAGCAAAGGAAGTTAATGTTCTTGGGAGTGATAGAAGCGTGACTGCATGTGTATTTGCACATGTGCGTGCTTGTGTGAGACAGAGAGAGTATGTGTGTCTGTGTTTGTGTCTGAAAGTGAGAGGGAACATGTGAGAGAGAGTCGTGAAGCCAAAAGGTATTAATCAAAAGGTTAAGTGTAACAGCAGAACTCAGGCTAAAGCTCGGCTCCTTATATATTGAAAACACAGAAATAAATATTATAAATGTCACTGAATAACATCAGTGATGACGGAGACACTGCGTCCAATATAATAACAGCTTCTTTTTTTATTCTAACAGCAAAAATATTACATGTGGCATATTAAAGATGTCTGAAGTTCATGAAGTTAATGTTCTGTATGGCAGCTGAAGCAGATGGTGTTTTATGCTTATAGGCTGTTTACTGTGTCAAAATGAATCAGATCAATGACTCAGACTCATTACCCAAAAAAATTATAGCCAAGCCTCCAGCTTTAATTGTCACATTGCATTACCTTAGATAGTCTAGACAACACAGAAACGCGTTTTCCGGCAGACACAATCTATTTCAAGATTAATTTCAGCAAACGGTTCAGTCAGCAAAGCGTTTGTAATTTGTCTTAAAAACAACCGTGAGTGTTCTTTCTGGAGCTCATACATTTTTAGCTTCACGGGGACAGCAATCTAAACTTCAGCAATCGTTAGCCCTCTTCTGCACCGTGGCGCGAATTGAGCAGAAGGGTGCCAGTCAAACTTTGAGTGTAGTTAATGTGTTTGTGTAGATTTTACCTGGAGATTGAATTGATATTTTCCCTGCTTGTTGGCTCTTAAGCAATAACTGTACTTTGGTTTAAAATCCTCCTCAATTTACACTTTCCTATGAAATAATACATTAGTAAAACACTGCATCAACAGGCTTCCTGAGTATACCTTTAGGTGTAAAATGCAATCACTTGGCCTTTTTGTCCAATTGGACATTAGTGCTAAAATGTGTTTTATGAGGCCACCGTGGCCTCTAACCTTATTCTAATCAAGTGAATGGTTTTGCCAAATGTAATGAAATCCCATCCATGGGTTCCTGTGGCATTGCTTTCACAAATAATGGGTCAGATGTGAGGTAACGCCTACCCTGACATTCATGAACCAAATTCAGATTTGTTCATGTTTGAATCTAAAGGAATATTTGTGCAAAAATTTTAGAAATCCTCGCAAGATGTTCAAGTGATATTGTGCTCAGAGTCTGAAGCAGACAACCTCGTAATGCCCAGAGCTCACGGTGATGAGACTTTACTTGTTTATGTGACCAAGATTAAAAAAACCCAAACTCATATTGACTTTACCATAAAAAAGCTGATCTGGCAAACAAATAATCAATAAATGCATAAATGCATTTGCTGATTGTTTTTTTTCAATTATCTCCAAAAATACCAATTGTGGCTGCTCTTAAGTCACTTCAGCTTCATAATGACATGTTGGTGACAGGGCATATGAATACTTTCATATTTACTCATGATATCCATTCTTAGGTCAAATTTTCAATATCAGACTTCTTGTAAATGCGGAGTATTTGTGCTTCCCAGTGCTACTGTCATTTATTTTGACATAGGCTACTTTTTACATTTTTATCTTAAATGAAAGAAACAAGCACACATAACATCCCATATACAGTAACTATATTATACTATTATAAAGAACTATTTACCTTGACCCTGTGTATAAACGTAATCTTACAAAGTTTTTAAAAAAAGGTTTTCCCGACCATTTCAAATATTTTCTTTGTCCATGTAAATATTACTTTTTCCTAGTGGAAGTATTGAACGCATCCATCATACCCAGTGCATACGCTCAATTTTGTGAAGTAAAACAAGTGAACCAACACACTGCAATTACATCAAGATTTGATATAAGCTAGGATTTGAAGCTTTATTCATTCTAGTTATATCACCACTAAAGGAGACTCCATCTAAAAATATCCTCATTTATGATTATGTCAGTAAATGAGTTCAAATTTTGATGCTATAAAAGCAACAGCTCATTTTCCCAAATATTGATTAGGCTCACAGCAAAAATAAAATACATTACATGCAGTCTGCAGGATGTTATGTAATTCTTTCCAGGCATAGAGGCACTTTTTTGTGTCTAGTTCCCCAAACGAGCATTTATTATGCAACTTAAAGAGGGGAGCATATCATTGATTTGCAACCCAGTATTATTTATTAACAGAAAGGGAAAAAAAGGATGGAATAAGAAAAGGTATTGTTCCAGGGACTAAGAGCGTGAATACGACAGATTGAGGAGCTATTTATATACAACCAACAAGCAATTTAACACAAGCAGTTACCAGGGACAGCACTGACAAGACAAAAATGTAAATGCACAAGCAGAATAAAGACAAGACCACAAGTTTGTGGATGGCTTGTAGAACATAATCAGAGACACCTTTTTAGTGTTGTAGTAATAATCAGTGGGTAGTTAGTTGTGGAATTCCTGCATTGTTGTTGCAAGTTCCCTTCACAACAGCCCAGCTGTAAATGTCAGGTCTTAAGTAAGCATCAGGGCAAAGTGCAAAAGAGACGTCTTGTTAATCAAGCATGTGAGAACAGTCAGCGATAACCACTCAGTATTAGTAGCATTGGGATTCAGTGGGAAATGTTTAATTAATATTACGGTTCAAAACTAATGGACTGGAATTATTATTAGTGGTATGAGACAAACTGTTAGGGAGACAGAACACTAATTAATAGAATTTGAAACAAATATATTTTTATTCCTTGTTTAATTGTGAGCCACAATGTTGGGGAAACAAGCCACTTAGATTTACAGACTCAAGAGACCAGACGAAGAGGACATGAAAGAGGAAATATTGCTCTGTTCTACTTAGCTGCGCACATATTTTTAACTGAGGAGGAATATGATAGACTACCGCTTAAAAAATGATGACTGAATTAAAAAGTCAGACAGGAGGGGCCAACAAAGAAATAGACACAGCGTGTCACTTAGAGGGACAGATCGAGGCGTGTCTCGAGCTAGCAGGCCCGGACAGATGAATTCTTTAGCCTCGGTAAACTGTCACATCGTCACCTCGTGGTGTGAGGTTTGAAATAAAGAGAGCAGCAGCAACAAGACTTTTTCT